AATTCTAGGCCCGTCCAAATTGAATTCGGGTTGAGATTTTTTGACCCAGGGTCAATCCAAGTGTTAAAAACCATAACTCAAGCCCTAATTTTTTTGGGTTGGGCTCGGGTTAAAATTGGGTTAGCCCACCCAAGTTGCACCCCTACCTTTACCAACAAATGACTCATTCTTGGTCAAAACAAAATGATCAGATTCTATGGTTTGTTTGAAACCAGCTTTATTTAAAAGATAACCAGAAACCAAATTCTTTCTGATTTCAGGAGTGTGAAGAACATCTCTTAGAGTCAAAACTCGGTCAGATGTAAATTTGAGTTGGACCTCTCTCATGCCCAAAACACTCACACTATGAATCACCAAGGAACACCTTTTTCATTTTCATCGGGAGAAAAAGACTTGAACCAAGATTTATCATGACATATATGTTTGGAAGCTCTAGAATCTACCAACCACCCTTCATTATTTTCAATAAAATTAACCTCAGTAATCATGGCCACAAGTGGTTCCTCGGTCACATTAGTTTGAGGAGCATAACTACGTTTTTTAAACGACAATCTTTGACAAAAATGCCCAGATTTTTAACATACAAAACAAACATCATTATTTGACTGATTATTTTTATTATATGGTACTTGTTTAGAAGGGGGTCTTTGGTTTGGTANTCCTCGGTCACATTAGTTTGAGGAGCATAACTACGTTTTTTAAACGACAATCTTTGACAGAAATGCCCAGATTTTTAACATACAAAACAAGCATCATTATTTGACTGATTATTTTTATTATATGGTACTTGTTTAGAAGGGGGTCTTTGGTTTGGTATTTGGTTCCATTTTTTTTTGAATTAGTTTTTATTTGAAGCCTTATTAAATTAGTATTCCATTTTTTTTGAAATTAGTTTCAACTAGGCACTGATTCTATTATTNTTGAAATTAGTTTTTATTTGAAGCCTTATTAAAGTTTTTCATGTTATTACCTCTAGGCTTCAACTAGGTACTGATTCTATTATTTCACCCTTAGAGGCATTATCATTGGATGAGATAAAAATGTANTGAAATTAGTTTTTATTTGAAGCCTTATTAAATTAGTATTCCATTTTTTTTGAAATTAGTTTCAACTAGGCACTGATTCTATTATTTCACCCTTAGAGGCATTATCATTGGATGAGATAAAAATGTACTTTATTGTTTTTTTCTATTACTATTGAGATTTATGTTAGTTTCGTTGGTCTTGTCTTGTTTTCTGGCCTCTTCTTCAATTCGAAGCCGAGTCATCAAAGTCACCATGCTTAATTCTAATTGCTTGTGACGAAGACCTTTTGGTACTCCTTTCACGAAACTGGTAGTTTGTCGATAATTGTTGCAACTTGAATCTGTTCATCCACCTTAATTTCTTCTAACACAATTTCATGAACAATCATCTGTAACTCATGTGTTTGAGCAATTACATATTTGTTTTCCACCATTTGAAATTTAAAATAGCAGTTACAAGCATATTTTTTCGTCCCTGTTTCTGCTATGTCGTACTTCGCCTCCAAAGTTTTTCATATCTTTTTTGGCAAATGAATAAAAATTGTAATAATAATCATATAGCTCATTAGAAAGACAATTGGGCAAATAATTGCGACAATTATCTTCGTCAATATTTCATATTGCTAAATTTTTTTCATGCTCTGCTAGATCTTCTGCACTCATACTTTTCTTGTTCACTTTCTTTGGATTTTTTGCAATGAGAATCCGTGCAAACTTCATCGATTTGAGATAGGATAGAACTTTTTTTGTCCATCTTTTGAAGAACTGTTCATTGAATTGAAATGGTTTGTTAAGATCGTTTGATCTAGTAGATGAAACAATAGAAGTGACTATCGCAGAATTCTTCATCGAGTATGAATCATCTTAAATTGTAGGAAAAATGGGATGCAAAAAATAAAGTGAATAGAAGGGTGGGGCGCAGATTATGTCGCTCTTTTAAGACGATTCACTCCCCTTTATGAAAGAATCACAACGCATAAGGTAACAATGTGTCATCCTTAGGACATAACAGCCCAACTTATCGATTGTTGCTTCACTTGGATCTGCACAATCGAATGAAGCAGAAGCTTCACGCGACATCTTTGAATATTGCCTAGAAACCTATATAGTAGAGAGATTGTAGTAGATATCTGATTGTATGCCATCTATACTGAAATATATAAATATATATATACAAAATATATGTGTTTGATATTTCGTAATTACTCCCATATTTAATCAGATAATATGTAAAAAAATAGTTGTTGAAAAACTAATTGTTAGGAATTTTGATATTCAACAACTGAATTTTTAATATAGAAGTTATGATGAAAAATAATTAAACAAAATATTAAAAAGTGGCCGGGGCACTCGCTACCCGGGTGGCGGACTAGGGTACCTAGTGTGTCTAAAAGATTGTTGAAAAACTAGCTATTAGGACTTTTGATATTCAGTAACTGAATTTTTATATAGGAGTTATGACAAAAAATAATTAAATAAAATATTAAAAAGTGACCAAGGGGACCCGTTACTCGGGTGGCGGGTTAGGGTAGCTAGTGTGTCTCGTAAACTGTTGAAAAACTACCCGTTAGGACTTTTGATATTCAACAACTGAATTTTTAGTATAGGAGTTATGACAAAAAATAATTAAATAAAATATTACAAACTGGCCAGGGGTACCCGCTACCTGGGTGGTAGACTAGGGTAGCCAGTGTCAATGTGTGTTATAGATTTTAGAAATTCGTATCCCCTCTGCTTGTCCCATTTCTCTGCACGTAAGAGTCCGAAGATCTCAGTTTAACTCATAGGCTAGATNTGTAGATTTTAGAAATTCGTATCCCCTCTACTTATCCCATTTCTCTGCACGTAAGAGTCCGAAGATCTCAGTTTAACTCATAGGCTAGATATAACACACACACACACACACACACACATATATATATATACAAAAATACTTTTTTTAGATATTTAATCGATGTGAGAATATTCTTTTAATCAAAAAACTCTAACAATTACTTTTATGAACTTTTCAGATTGGACCTAAAGACTAAAAAATGCTGAAATGTGGACATGTGGTCTCCTTTTTTTTTCTTTGGCTTTTTCGATACCACATTTATTTTTGGGAAAATTAACAATAAGTGAANCAATTACTTTTATGAACTTTTCAGATTGGACCTAAAGACTAAAAAATGCTGAAATGTGGACATGTGGTCTCCTTTTTTTTTCTTTGGCTTTTTCGATACCACATTTATTTTTGGGAAAATTAACAATAAGTGAACATAAGTATGCACAATATTTTTATTTTAAATTTATGATCATTGAAAACCTCTACAAAACAGATTACATTTCTTTTATTTTCCAGAATAGACCTTAAATAACTGTAATCACCCCCAAACCACAAATATCAATTAAATCATGACCATGAGTCACTAACAGGAACTAAACAAAATACATTCAAATTTATGAGGTATCCTAAATCAAAACAAATGACATGATTTTATCAGTTATTAATTTAAGATCCTAAATTCACTTGTCATAGTATAATCCAATTGGTAAAATAAACATAGTGATTTTATGAGTGATCATATGCTTACTCAATATTTATTAAAAAGTATAGATAGATATGTCAGCAAATCGAATTCGAATCGGATTATACATCTAATTTCAAATTATTTATTCAAGAAATTTTATTTTTATAGTTTATATTCGAATTAATAAATAAACATCCCATCTATGATAATGAATTCGAATTAAAATTTAGATAATTAGCCAATAAAATTAATTCATAAATTTGGATCCAGTTGAAATTTAGATTAAACTCTCACCCCTTTTGAAAATATGCTACCTATTCATCACTTTGAAAGTTTGGCAAAAAAATTTATTCCTCATCATTTCTATAGTGATAATTTAGTTTTTAGGGTTAATTGCATCGGAGGTCTCTAAAATATAGAGTGTCTCATTTTCGTCTTCAAAAAAAAAAATACATCATTTTAAACCTTGAAGTATTGAATATGTTTTTATATCATTCCTCAAGTAGATAATGTCTAAATTACTAATGATTTTTTTTTATCATAAACTTGTTATGTGATACTTAAATATAAATAAAAAAATAACTTTGATAATTCTTGACCAAATTTTTACACAAATTTTGGTTAAATAACTGCCTAAATTACACAATTTTAATCATGAGCTATCCAAAATTTTGGTCAAAAACTATCCATATTACACATATTTTTATCGAGAGCTACCCAAATTTTGTTTAAAAGTTATCAAAATTATTTTTTGTCCATATTTAGCTATTACGTGATAAGTTTATGATAAAAAATCGTTAGCAATCTGAACGTTATTTGTTTAAAGAACTATATGAAAAAATATTTAATACTTTAAGGATAAAAATGATACAACTGAAACATTAAAGATTAAAATAAGACAAATCTTATATATCTCTTAGTGCAATTAACCTAATTTTTAACTGATCGGAAATGGTGTTAATCGATGTGAGTATATGTTGGCTGACACTCGGACCATTGGAAAAGAAAAAAAGAAAATTTATCATCGTGTTCCAGATACACTCCCGTTGGTTCAGAAAGGACTGTGTCTTTAGCGACACACGCTCAAGCTGTACAGTGAGAATCCTTCACTGGGATGCACTTGTTCCAACCCAGAATCTCTCGATGCTGCAAAAACTATATCAAGATCCCTTACGAGTACTGCAATCCCATGGCAACATTCTCTCACTTCTCGACCTTCTGTTCTCTCTCTTCCCATAAACTCTTCTCTCTCCCTCTCCCCTCTCTCAACTTAGACCACCACCGCCACCACCACCATCACATAATTTGTGGTTCTTCAATCAAGAAACCCAGGTTTTCTTCAATTCCCATATGTTTTTTGTTTTTTTTTTGACGATTTTGCTTGTAGGTGTTTTTCTTTTTCGGAAAGTGCTTGTGGATGTGTTTTATTCTCACTAAAAGTTGAAATTTTGTGGGTTTTTTATAGCGCCGGCAGGAAGGTCAAGAGCAATGCGGATCTCTGCAAGGATATCCGAGAATTTTTATCGGCGGTGGGTCTACCGGAGGATCATGTCCCCTCAATGAAGGATTTTTCACAATATGGAAGGTTTTGGCTTTATTTTCTATCTGTTTACGATTCTTATATGCTTTATAATTCATAGATAAAAGAAATTAACCGTCGAGATGGTAAGAAAACACATATAATGACTTACGGAGACATAACGAATTACAACTTACCCATGATGAAGAAAGTGAATCAAAATTGAAAATGTTGGAATTTATATCTTTAGAGAGTTTGAGTGAAGTTCTGATATGATGCTGTTGGTTTCTATAGCAATAGTCTCTCCATTCTATTTGTTCATGGATTTCCTTAACATTTCCACATCATTTAGAGGTTTTTTTTTTTTCATTTAGAGGTGATCACTTATTTTGTTTGACTTTGGGAATTTTGGTTTGAATATTTTAAAAGTTAAACGGTCGATTTCTTGCAATGAGTTGAGATAGTGATCTTTCACACAAACTCGAATGGTGAACCTAAAAACACTCAACAAAATCAGGAAAGGGGTTGGATGTACAATCAACTAATCCCCTCCGATGGTTAATAAAATTGATGCTCAAGTGGAAGGAAGTGTTGGATGTCGTGAATTCAGATTGCATACCCGAGTCTCACTTTCATAGGGGTATTTATACCTCAACATGCGATGATGCCTCCCTTACTCGAAGTCCCATCCTATTATTTAGTAGCTTGTCACCATCTAGTATAATGAGCTAAGAACAAGGACACGGACACGAGACACAGATAAGATACGACACGACACGGACACAGACACGGACACGTCGACACGATATTTCTCAAAAAAGTAGGACACTGACACATTGAGGACACGCTACAAAAAAAATTATATTTTATATATAGCATTATATAATTTATTACAAATATAGTGATAATGATATACAATTCATAAAAGATTAAGTATTTTATAATAAGTAAATCTAATATCTAGTCATCTCTTGTGAATTTTTAGACTAAAGCATCCTCATAATAGTCAGTAATCATCAATTTTTTTTGTAGGCAATGTGTACCTAATATATAATTTAAATATTTGCTCTCATTTTCTTAATTCATCTTTTTTAAAACTTTTATGCATCTTTTATTATATTTGAAGTACAATTTTAACATGTCTAGTATTAGTAATTATATATTTTAAAAGGTTTAAATTTTGTTAATTACATTTCAATACATGTCTATTGTTTAATAGTAGACACGTTCTAAAGAAGTGTCGGACACGTCACCAAAAAAGTGTCCGACACGTGTTCAAAATTAAAAATTTATTATTTAATTATGGACACAGATAAAAGAGTATCGGACGCGTGTCCGAGAGTATCCGAAGAGTGTCGGTGTCCAACACGGATACGTCACAAGTGTCCGTACTTCATAGATAATGAGTGCTGCCCCATCACTTCTCGTTAATGCTGAGCACTCGGATGCCTGGACTTGCTCTCGGGAACATACCGAGCATTAAAGGCGCCCTCTCCAACTATCAAGTGCTCTAGGAAAATAATAAGACCTTACGGCCAAGCCATAATGAATAGATGCTAGGTCCCCTCGGGAGCTCCCGAGGCTCCTCCTCGGTCTAGCTGCCATTAATGCAAGGAAATGATGATTGTCTTCCACGTTTTTCGAGGATTAGACAGTCCAGTCATTCTGTTATGAACCCCATTAATGACCCGTCTTGTCGTATTTAATGCTTGGCAGCAGGAATAGTGCTCGGCCCCGAGTGTTTTACTCACTCAGCATGACCTGTCATCTAATTTACACGCACCTCAGCAGCTGTCTCCAGCCACGTGTTGGATTATTATTGTCAAGCTGCACAACGTCCTGTCAAAAGTCAACATTGTGATTTGTACTTAGTGTTGATTTGAATTCATTAAAGGAGTCGAAATAACAATTTTTGTCATGCGATGAATGTTTTTGGTCTGTGATTGGGTTTGAAATTGTATATTAACATTCTAAATGTGGTAATTTCTTCACTTCTCAAAAGATGACAACATGAATGTGGAACATTGGAACAATGTTATGACTGATTTGCGAATTGCAATTGTGTTGGCTATTGAGGGTCTTTTTGTTTACCAACATTAAATGGTGCACCAGGCAATGCCCCTTATGAGGTTTCTTAGGTTAAATATTAGTTCATTCACCTTTAATAGGGAGGAACTCCAGTAGCAAATGTTTTTATTGGTTAATATGTTACACGACATAGTACATACACACACATACACTTATATCTGTAGTGACAAAAAATATTTTTGTTGTTTACAAAAGTACTTTGTATTTCTTAAGTAAATATATACTTCTGAAGTTCAACTTGCGTGCTTGATATTTATTTCTGGTTGACTCTATAGGCAAGACCTTGCAAATATTGTCCGACGGAGAGGATATAAACTTATTAGAGAACTTCTTGCAACCTCAACAGAGACAAATGTCAATGGGTCTGATGCGGAAGAAGGCTTGGTGGAAAAAAAGGACACAGTTAGTGCTAGCTTGGATGAATTAGCAGGTCAACTACTGTTTCTCAATATTGGTTTATCAGGGCAACAAATTACTTTTTTAAATAATTACATTTCTTATATATGTTTAATTGATACCATTGTTGCTTCTAAAAGGTCAGGATGAGACAGTGAAAGATTTTGGTGAAGTGTTTTCCTGGTCAAGAGAAGATCTCAGCATGAAAGACAATATAAGTACCATGAATATTGATAGGGATCTCATTTCTGATGACCAAAGTTCCATTTCCACAGAGTCTTCAGCTAATTCATCTTTGCAGGAAAAGGTAGCCAAATTTATCCAAATTGGAGAATTGGATACAATTGAGGGTAAGCTGTGAGCAAACAAGATATTTGTGCTAGTTTTACTAGTGTTGAAGTGCTGAATGTTGTTAAGCTTCTATAATTGCCACATTGAAAGCATCACTTCCAAGAGTTGTGCATGATGGGATAGATCTGTATCGTGATCTGTGCTATACCAATTGTCAATGCATTAGTCAGTTCATCCCACCTGAATGCGAAAGTGTAAGTGAACCACATTACTAGCATTGCAAAATGGGGCTTATAGCATGTAGTTTTCACTGGGCAAATTTGGAGTCTAATGTGCAGCAAATATATATTGCCATATGGTTGGGTGTTTTAACCAGATTGTGAGTTAACTACACAGCTCACCCGTCAAAAGAGAGCACACATAGGATAAAGTTCAATTAAAAGTTGTTTAAGATTATGAGTGATGATGTTTTAGATCCATTTAACCTGCCATGACACCATGTTGATGTTAAAGTTTGTTCTACATTGGTACAATATCAGCTTTCAAAACTAGTCTATTGATCTTGTAAACCTCTCAATTTATTGTGGATTGATTTTGATTTTGATTTGGATGCTTCAACATGATATCAGAATTGAACTTAGGGAGGTTTTGAGCAAGATCCTCTATTTCAATTACATTAACTCAATAACATTTACCCTCTTTGTTCGTGTCATAATTACAATTTATTATGTTAGGTTCTTTTGTTTGCCTCTCTACATGCCACTGGAGGTCGCATGTGTGGGGAGTGTTAGATCTTGTCCCATATTGTTATAATAACAAATCCCAAACTAGTATATAATGTATGTGAGACTCTTCACTCATTATCAATTATTTCGAGTTGGATGCTTTAAGAGTTGTTATATCCTTCATAGGCAACTGTAGTAAATAATATTGTCATTTATTCTTGTTAATGCTTCAAACGTCTTGACTTGAGCATGTTCTCCTGCTTGATGCTCAGGTAGTGGCTTTGACACGTTAAATGAAAATGGCAACATATTTATTGAGTCACAAAATGCCACAGAAGAAGTATCAAGTTCCAACAGTGAAAAGCGCAGTGATCTGGTGCTTGTTAGAACTGATGCTGCTAAAATATTGGATGGAACCAGTACATTGTCAACCCAGCAGGTTGCCCATCCAGTGTCTGAAAATCATACTCCAAGGTTTGTACTTTCTACATATATTTATACAGTCAAATCTGCAGCTGTGGCTTTCTTTTATAGGCCTTTTTTGCTCCACCTTTGATGGTTCTTAGCAATACCTTTTCTTGTGGTTGTTTCTGAAAAAATGCGCTAACTGAATTTTGTAATGTTTGAATGTAAATTATTGAGGGTCATCATCTATCACATTTTATTTGCTGTTACAAACTTGCAATAAGGAGGAATTCTTTATTTATGATTGCCTAGGTCCAACTTTCCAAAAATTAAATTTCAATTTACCAGTGCTTGTACATGATTTTTGCTGCATGGTGGTGGCCTAAGAAGTCTCTATGCTTACATATGCGTGTGCACACAATATTTATATAGATGCTTTCACACCTTGGAATTTCTCTCTCTTATCAAAATTATCTAATCCTCTTTTTGGCCTTCATGTGATGCTGGAATAGAATTATAATCTGGACCCTTGCACCGGAAAAGTTTATGGATTTTTTTCTTTTTTTTCGTTTCCCTTGAAATCTGGATTCTTGTATGTTGGAATTTTTTATGGATTTTTTGTTATTTTTTCTTTTTCCTTTTGATTCCTCTTTTGGTGTGTTGCTGTCAAAGGTATATTAGTCATACATGAGAGTGCAGCTTGAGTATGAATTTCCATTTACAGTCATTGGAGGGCATTTTATGATTGCAATTGTTTGTAGGAACAATTGTGATTGGACTGAAGAGCTAATAATTGCTGATCACAATGACGATCTGGATGCTGAGGTCACTATTATATAATGTATTTCAAGTTTTAAATGTCAGTCCATTGCTTAATTTGGCATCTAATTTGCTTGCCTTTCGTGCTTTTGTAATACAGAATAGAGAAGTGGAAAATCAAGCTGAAATTTATCGTCTTAAGTTCATGATGGTACTACTTTTTGTGTGATGATATAGCTCTATTTGTCTTGAATATCTCAGTTCGTAAGCATAAATTCTTTGCCATTGTAATATTATTCTTGTATGCTCAGCATCAGAAGGAGTTGGAGTTGTCTCGGTTGAAGCAAGAGATTGAAAAAGAAAAGGTAATTTATCTAGTCTAGTATAGAATGTCACCCCGGATAAATCTTAATATAAATGGACACAACCTTGATTGCTTTTTCTTTGTTTTTGGCGTTGCACATTGCAATGTATTGCAGCAGTTAAGTCTGTTTCCAAGAAAATATGGAACACATTCCACTCTTCTTCTGGCATTGTTCTTTGTACTAAGCATGCATGCTTTCAGTTAGAGAACGATTTTATTAACATGCTATATATTAAAAGAATTGACAATTGATTGTGAGCTTCATGGTGCTGTCTGATTTGTTCTTTCTATATTAAAGAGGCAGCATTGCTATATATTAGGTTTGCATTGAGTTTATACCTCCCAACACCATAGATTGGTGGATGGTAGTGGGTAACAAACTTTAATGACCCTATTTCATAATGAGTGATAATTTATCTTTTGTCTGAAAGATTGCTTTTAAAGTACTTGTTTGATTTTAGTTTTATTATTGTATTCAGCTTGCCTTGTCTGTTTTGCAAACAAAAGCAGAAACAGAGATAAGCAAAGCGCAGAAACTAATTTCGGAAAAAAATGCAGAATTACACATTGCTGAAGAAGGCCTTTCTGGGCTGGAGGAGGTACTACTGCTCTCCTATGTGTATTTTTTCATGTTCACATTCAGCCAATGTAGTTAAAGCAATGACTTAGATTATTATCACTATAGAATTGATCCTGTTGTAGCAATTCTATATTGGTTATTTCATACTAGCACTTGGGATCTGATCGACAAAATCTGTTCCAATAAGCAGCCTCCAACCAGTTTAATGCGTAATCTGTTTTTACTAGATGTGGGCTGCTAAAAAGCTGTGAGAAACAAGTACTTTATGAGACTGGAATGGAAATGTAGGGTTGTGTTTGACTTCTGAGTGGTGAAATCCTAAATGGCGTGTGGAAGAGTTCTGCATAGGAAACCACGAGTTTTTAACCAAATAGTATCAGTGATTTTCAACATTTAAATCTTCAAGGCTTGCCACATGTGGCCACCAATCTTTCCAAGGCAGCAATTGACTGCAGCTCTCGTGGAAGTATTACTGAATCTGGATGTTAAAAGGTGAAGTGATTGCAAACTTGGGGACCTATGATTGGTATTTATGTGTGATGATTAGATTGTGGGCGAGGTGACTCACATCAGCTAAGTATCCCTACTCAATCAGTCAATCGTATTGAGGACAAAGGGGCATCCATTTATTTTCAGGGGGTTTCGTTTTTTTTTTTTTTTTTTGGGGGGGGTGGGGTGGGGTGTAAAGCCAGCAGTTCATTTTGTCCTATAGTATATTGTATTTTTTTAGCTTTTCCTCACATATATGCATGAACATTGAGATTAGTGTCTTTCTTATGCCATTAATAACTGTTATGGAATGAAACAGAAGTTCCCCTTTTTTTCCTACTAGGTTGAAATCGAATACTGGGGGGATGGTGAAACTGTGGAGGTGGCAGGTAGCTTCAATGGCTGGCATCATCGGATTAAAATGGATCCACATCTGGCAGCAAGTATCATAGAACCTGTGGGGTCCAGGTGTTCATAATCCTTTTTATCGAACCCATTGTCATGCAGGCTTTCGACGATTAGCTATCTGTTTCCTCCTCTCTACTCTTATTTCTACTTATCAAATCAAAATAGCATACATCAGTTCAACTGTTAATAAGTTTAGTTAATTTCTCATAACTAACTTAAAAGTTAAGGCCTAAGGGCTTAAGATTAAGCATTGATGTAACCCTACATTGGCCAGGAATTCACTTGTTTGACCTTATATTGATCTTATTCTAGACATGCTTAGAGAATCATTTGAACTTATGCCAAGAAGGTTAACAAGCTAGTCAAATGGGTTTTACAAATGCAGAGAAAAACTCGTCATAGGATTTCTAGATATATAAGATGAAAGATTCTAGAGAAAAAAAGGAATGTAAAAAATATAGTTATTTGATAAAAGACATATTATAAGACTGTCAGGGGCGGAGCCAGACAAGTTTTGTAGTGGGGGCAGCGTAAACCATATAAATATTCAAACTCCAAATGTTCACTAAAATATAATTACACTAAAAGAACGTCAATTAAAGACACTAACCGTATATACGAGCCATATACAAAAAGAATTAACAAAAAAGGCTTACTATAAAGTTGTAGATAAGACCTTACTGAAAAATAAAATAAAAATTAGCGTTCATATATCTATACATGAAAAAATTCAAATTATCAAACATCTAATAAATGTTCATGATTTTTCACCACGAGTTTTCATATTTTAAAAGCATTGAATGATCTTTTCATTATCAATTGAATTTGAAAAAGCAAAGAATTTTTAACATGCAAATACAAGCCCCAATCACCAAAGAATTTAAACAAACATTCAATCCAAGCAGATGGAATTCCTTTATGTCATTCTCAACCTCCAATTTTCAACAGATGTTACAATTACAAATAATTTTTAAAAAAGATCAATAAATTTCATATTGGAATCATAGTTGCTCAGTGCAAATTAAAAAAATCTAAGTTCAATTGTCTATTATTAGACAAAAAATTAGATAGAGAAGCTACCTAAAACACCAACTACCGCCCAAAAAATCAAAAAAATTATAAAAGCTATCAAAATCGGATGTTCTCCTTAGAGTATAGGCTCTAAATCTATTAAAGACCCCATTTATAACGAAAAATATAAAACCTCTCCGTAGTCTTTCCAAAAAATTTAACTGGGGGCAACTTTCAAACAATTCTAGAGCTTTTGAAAATTATACCTATACCCCAAACATTTTCAAAATTTCACTGCCCCTACTGTGGATTTGCCCCGGAAGACTGTCATCTATGATCGTTATTTCTATTCTTGGTTGATTATATCGGAACAAGTCTAACCATATCTGTTATTTAAAAGGGTGTAACAAAAAAAGTCATCTTAAGTATTTGGGGTTGGCTCCTTGAATTTGGTTATCATCGACAAGCACAGCTTAATGAGCTGTTATGAAAGATGGTTTCAGTGCACAAATTATGTGAAGTTGTTGCACATTTTGTCCTATTCCAGTTTGCAATGTTTCCTTTAACTAATGCTATCACCTAATGTCTGTTATCAATGATGTGTGTGTTTGTATTGCCTTTTTTCCGCTATAATTAATTTTAATTTTCTCATCCCTTTTTGTTCTAAAGTGGTTTGAGTTCGCAATCTCACTCTCATGACATGATTTGCGAGGAAATCTAGACTTTGGAGGGCTGTGTTGTGGCTATATCCTGGGATTTATGAGGTGAGAAAATCTGCTAATTACTACTAATAGTAAATTCTCTTTGACTTGTATGCTAGGAAGCATGGATACGAACACTGAAATACGATAAAGTTAAAAAAATATAGGATCCGGGTACAACAAAGATACGGTTATTGAATAATATAATATATTTTTTAAATAATAATAGAGTTATAATATATTAAAAATAAAACATACATTATAACAATATTAATACTAAGACCTAACAAATATTATTTTTTTGATTAAAATTGAAATAGATCAAATTAAATATCTACCATTTTCATCAAACGTCATAACATCTATTAATATTCATAGTATATAAGTTAGATAATAAAAAATATATTAAAAAAAGTAAAAGTCACACTCCTTTTAATAGTTAAAAGTTGTTTTAATAAAAAAAATTTTGGTTGTGTCCTAGATCTGACCATGTCTTAGCCGTGTCCTGACGGTGTCCGACTAAGTTCACTATTCAAAACACTTCTAACCGTGTCATGTGTCCAGCCGTATCTTGATCGTGTCCATGTCGGACATGTGTCCGGCACTGCTACAACGCCCCTGTGGAAGTATCCGTGTTTCCTAGCTTATATGTGTAGAAATCTAGGTTATCTAGAAACGGAACGATATGGAAACGAATACAATACAATAGAGACACTTGAATGATGGAGAGAAGGGAAAAAAGAAGATCATGGAGAGAGATCAATTGGCCAAAATTTTCCTACTACTTATGATAATTTCGTTAATAAGGTTGTACATATAATCAAACCAAAGAAATTAAAAGATCAAAAGTAAAAATTAAGCCTAAAATCTAAGCTCTTATTCAATTTCTCGTGATCCCCTTCAATTCTCCTGGGCTAAAAGAACTCTCAGAAAGGAGAGTTTACAGTAATGATGCTACTCCAAAATTTCCTATAAAAGATGAAGTAGTCCGAACCTCAAGAACATCCCCAAGTTGGTCCAAGCTTTATTGCTTAAGCAGGAACAGAACAGGTTCTTCTAGTGTTGGTGTGGTGACTGTACCTGTAGGAACACCTGAATGCAAAGTAGATGAAAAAGGTGGATGGCACTCACATCTGATCGCAGGTAAGTAAGTGAATATGGGTTAAGTAATAAGCCTACGCGTAATACAAAAAGGTATAGTGGTTCAAATAGGCAGTTTTCTCAAGAATTTGTAGGTCATGCTCTTGGTGATCATAAATAACAACTATAGAATCACCCTCAACAAGCTTAGAATTTTCATCAATTGAAACAATTTTATGTCTCTTATCAGCATGATGATCATGATGGACATCAACACCCAACCAGAACTAAACATAAGGTCTGACTTGACTCAACCAAGACTAGATTAGACAGTCTTAAGTGCACACAAAATTACATATCCATGACTGATCACTGCAAATGATTAGGCTTGAAAGTCTCTAATTACGTCTCTTCTTTGCTCATTTTCTTTATGTAATGTTTTGCATCATTATATGTCAACACAAGTTTTCATGTTCTTTTTGAATTATGAAAAAGAAAATTTTACTTATGGAGGATATCTGACTTCGGCTACCAATGGTCATTTATTAAAGCTGGTTTTTAACACCACAATTTTTCCCTTTTTTTTTAATGTTTGACATTGTCAATTGGATGAATAATTTTCTCGTACCAAAATTTTAGTTACAATAGAAAATCATCTCTAGCTTTATTACAACTACAGAAGTAACTGTTGTCACTACTCTGAATGATCTGTTGTCAGCAAGGGTCTCTCTTAAGTTTTAAGCAAGCGAAAAGTAAAAATGGAGGGGGACATGTTTGACAGTATGCATAATAGATAAGATAAATAATTGCCTGTGTTTTTATGGTTAAATTTTAGGCTGCCATTGTAAAGATGGTTTTGCAACACTCTAGTATATAATAAGTCAAAATCGTGTCATTTCTGATCATTATTAGGAGCTTTTCAACTTAGAAGCCGTTTATAAAATTTATTACTGATCTTGACATCCTTCTATGATTTCAGATAAAATTTATTGTGGATGGCCATTGGAGGGTTGATCCTCAGAGGGAGTCAACTACCAGGGGTACCATACATAACAACATTCTCCGGGTCAATAGATGATGCGGCTCTTGCTAGGAATTATTTGTTTTTGTAAACATACCACTGAGGTACTTAATAGCTTCCCTCTCAACTTTGAAATGGAGTCAAATATCTATTCCCTTACTTCTCTGCGTGTTTTTTCTTTTGGTTTTTTGGTTTGCGCTCCCATGAAAGTTGGTTGGGTTGGAGTCAAAGTTCTCATTCAGGTATTTATAATTCATATCTATCGAATTTCCCAAAGAAATAAAAATAATGATTCATATTTTTCATTGGTATAAAGTGTACATATTGATGTAAACCAATTGTTATGGGCACCATATACTTGTAAAAATCATTTTTTCTGCTTGTCATATTCTTGTGGTTTTCTCAGATAGACAACAATGGCAAATGATTACCGGTCCAGTGCTGTGCAATAGAAAAGATCTAGCCGAAACATGGAAAGGATCATGCTATTGTCGAATTCACACTGCCGTCTTGTACCACTGAAAATAGCCTACCCTGTGCAGTTCCTAGTATCTTTTCATTCTGGTTCATATGTACATTTCTCTTCCTATGACACATTTCCACTTAAAAAATAGGTGTTCTCACCATTGTGCTAGTGCTTAATAATATGTCTAGCTATTGGAATTTGCATAATGGCTATAAGACATTTATTTATCTGTAGCTTAATATTAAACTCCATTGATTTTACAATGTCTGACAATATGGAGAACTTGAAATCTATCAGTATTTCACATTCTGAGAATTTGATGGCACCGTAACAAAAGCCCAAAGTTTTTTTTTTTTTTTTTTTTAATTTGATGTACATCAATGGGAAAGGATTCGAATCTGGGTTGATCAGATTGTCGGAAGAGCCATTTCTCCGAAAGAATCGTTCTAAATGTTAGAAACTATTGAACTCCGAAAGTATGGTTCTGAACGTTAGCTAAATATTGTAACTCTTCCCAAATATTTTCATGTACATGCAAGGCTACAAAAATAAATCCTTCTGCTGCAAGGTGGAGTTATTCTTTTTTTTCTTTTAACGCAAAATTTCATTTTACGCCCTTGTAGTTTGATGCTATGGCACTTTACACCCATATGGCTCAATTATAACCATAGTTCTCGTGGTTTTGGATTAAAGTGTGTGGTTATAGTTTGTACCCAATTCGACAGAAATTGTATTAGCCTGTTTAATTCGATTGTTCGGGTGTGA